TCATTTATTTCTCTTCATTTCCTCTGGGGCTCCTCCAGTTTCAATCCTCATGACGCTATCTGGCAAGATTTTATCTAGTTTCAGCTAGAGTTCAGCAGTGGCGCCTCAAAGGGTCGCCTCAGAGGATGAGAGAGAAGCCAAGTGGACATGAGCATGTCTTGACTCCCACAGTAACTTCAAACACATCAGCTCAATCTGCAACTGTAGTATATACTGAGGTTCTGTGAACAGTTTTGTGTAGAGAAAACATTCCTGTACTAAAGGAAATAGAAGTGTGAAAATCAGCGCTCAGAGTTATTCTGCATATCACTGTCATAGCAGCTCCTTGAAACATTTCTTTTTTTATAGTGTTCCTGTTAAAGATCTTTATCAGTTATTACCACTCTATCTTACATTCAAATCTGTTTACATACTGGGAAAATGCTATAGGGATAACCACATTTCCTACTATTATTCAACATCTGTGTTCTCATGATTCTAGTCGAGCCCCGTTGGCCTCTCACCATTACTGGTCAGTATTGTTTGTAGAGCGTTCCACACGCTGCCTTTCCTTACTTCCTTTCTTTGCTTTGCCCATTCAAGTTTCATTTCTGCTTCATAGCTCAGCACCTCAAGTCTTAACTCCTTGAAAACTTCATCTATTTCAGTTTCAACTGATCTCACCCCTCTCCCATGTTATGCTGGAGTTAGAGTCTGTATCTCTGAAAGAGGCAGCTAATTTCCTTGTACTGTTTCAGGATTTTGTTTTCTCAGGTCAATTTTAGGTCTAATAATAGCAGGGCTTCTACCTTTTATAGTCTGTTCCATTACAAGCATTTGTGTACCACAAATAACACTTTAGCTATTGGTAAATACAGAATGATGTCAAAATAATGTAGAAGTCCAGATGATTCATGTGTGGATTTTCTTACTTTAGACTTGTGGTGATCAGCAGCAAACTTCCTCACAAATAGTAGTATATGAAGACTAAGGAAAAGTGAAGAATCCTGCACAAGATTGCCTTTAGTGACTGGTTTAGTGGTTAACTTGTAAGTTTTCAACAACATTCAACTATCTTGTGCAGCTGTGAAGACCTTTCAATGCATGGTTCTACAAGGTTGCCTATTCTTCAATTGGATTTTTAATTTTGGTGAAAATGGCGTCTAAAAAAAATGTGAATGCCCTTGGGGACCCAAATCAGGAAGGAGGAAGCATGACAGCTGGCAAGCATTGAGGACTGTGTTACTGGGTGCAAATGCCAGTGGAGATTTAACTGCTTGAGTGTTTTATTAGGATGGTTATTGTTTTCACTGATGTTCTGATTACAAAGTTGTATTGCATTTAAGTGACTTCCCTAACACTACTTTTCCTATATGCCCTTTTATTTTAGGTATGCAATTTTTACAGAAGATTCTCTAGGCTGTCATCTGCCTTTATAGCAGAACGTCTGGCACTCTTTTTAAACTTCTGCAACATCTAGTTTTGTGGCGGCTACATAATATATGTTTAATAAATATTTGTAGGCACCCTTTATTTTATTTCTTAAAGCTTTATTTATTAATTTATTTGAAAGGCAGAGTTACAGAGGCAGAGGCAGAGAGAGAGCGCGAGCGAGCGAGCAAGCGAAAGAGAGGTGTCTTTCATCCACTGATTCACTCTCCAAATGGCTGCAATGGCTGGAGCTGGGCTGATCCAAAGCCAGGAGCCAGAAGCTTACCGTGGGTCTCCCACGTGGGTGCAGGGGCCCAAGGACTTGGGCCATCTTTGACTGCTTTCCCAGGCCATAGCAGAGAACAGGATAGGAAGTGGAGCAGGCAGGACTCGAACCGGCACCCACATGGGATGCAGGCACTGCAGGTGGCGGCTTTACCCACTAAGCCACAGTGCCAGCCTCCAGGCATCCTTTAATTCTGCTGTGGTGCTAGAACCGGTTATTTCTCATTTTTTAAAATAAACGTTTCCAGGGCCGGTGCTGTGGCACAGTGGGTTAACGCCCTGGCCTGAAGCTCTATCATCCCATATGGGTGCTGGTTTGAGTCCCAGCTGCTCCACTTCTGATCCAGCTCTCTGCTATGGCCCAAGTCCTTGGGCCCTTGCACCTGCGTGGGATACCGGGAAGAAGATCCTTGCTCCTGGCTTTAGATCGGCGCAGCTCCAACCATTGCAGGCAATTGGGGAGTGAACCATCGGATGTAAGACCTCTCTCTGTTTCTGCCTCTCCTCTCTCTGTGTAACTTTTTTTTTTTTAAACAGGCAGAGTGTACAGTGAGAGAGAGAGACAGAGAGAAAGGTCTTCCTTTTGCCGTTGGTTCACCCTCCAATGGCCACTGCGGCCGGCGCGCTGCGGCCGGCGCACCGCGCTGATCCGATGGCAGGAGCCAGGAGCCAGGTGCTTTTCCTGGTCTCCCATGGGGTGCAGGGCCCAAGCACCTGGGCCATCCTCCACTGCACTCCCTGGCCACAGCAGAGAGCTGGCCTGGAAGAGGGGCAACCGGGACAGAATCCGGCGCCCCAACCGGGACTAGAACCCGGTGTGCCGGCGCTGCTAGGCGGAGGATTAGCCTAGTGAGCCGCGGCGCCGGCCCTCTCTGTGTAACTTTGACTTTCAAATAAATTAATAAATCTTTAAGTAAATAAATAAAATGTTTCTTTCCATTTACCTATGAATGACCCCAATTGTTTAGATGAGCATACGTTGCAGACGGAAGATGCAGAAAGCCAGAGGGATACAATAAAGATCACCAGAAACTTCCAGCTCAGTATGAAGATAGAACCTAGCAGCTTTTTATTTTTATTTCTGCCAGAGCTAGCTTTAAAATTCTGATTGGGTGCTATACTTGTAAGAGGCCAGAGGGAGAGCCTGCAAGGTCAGTGGGTCTAAAGTATGTTTTTGATACTCCAGCTGATGGGGATAGCCTCTTTCTTTCTTCAGCATCAGAGAACAGATGCTTCTTCATCCACCAGCCTATTTGGGTGTTCCAGGAAGGTAAAAAGTAAAGTAGGTGCAGTGAGATAAGCCAAAAGGTGCTTGGTTTATTATCAGTGGACAAAGTGTCCTTGGTGGAGGACAGTGGCTCTATTAGCTTCCAAAAAACGGCCAATGACCCTGATGCCTGAAGACGAAAGGGTTTTGGTTTGTTTGTTTTTAACTACTGTTTGCATTAACTGGAGCCAAATGCTGAAAAGCAAACATCAAGAATTAAGACACAGGCTGAAACAGCCATAATATAGTCAAATGTAGGTCTTATCAGGACCAAATATTTTCATTTTTTGCAGAAAAGATGACTGGTCTTTATTTACCTCAAGTTGGACGCCAAATGTAGCTAAGCCTAACCTGAGGATACGACAGTCCTCTGTGTGTCATATGGTATATTCTAAAGTGCTCCAGAAATGTCTATGAAGTATATCATAAAGCAATGTTTGAGCTTGGAGAGCGCCCCCACAATGGCCCACACCTCCTTCTGTCAAATAGCCATTACATGAAGCCACTGGATAAATAGGTCATGTCTTCTGCAGCATCCATTTTTACTCAGTATTTCAGGAAGGGAGACATGTATATAAACCGTGTGTATGTGTAGTGAGCCGAGTCTAAAATATACATCAAACTTTAAGTCAAACAGGAACTTCAACAGTGAAAAGTTACCTTGGGGCTCCTTGTCTACCCTGTCTGGAAGCAAGTATTCCCCTTCTCTGCTGTCCTCGGGTAGTTTATCTCCGTAGGAGAATGCACACCTGCATGATTGAGAAGACAATTAAGGACTTTGACAAAACTGGGATTAAAACTGTTTTCCATATCTAATGTTCTGTTCACTCTGCTGTCCAACTGAGTCACCGCAGCAAATCCGTATAATGAGCAGATTTTTTTTTCCTAACGCACAGTAAATTTAGGCTGCAGAGGAAAAGGAGTCACAGCCTGAAGATACCTTCCATAACAGGCATGTAGGCATGTCGATAGACTCAGCATCTAAATTTACAACGCAGCCAGCTTCTCCAGCATGTGCGCTTTTATTCTTTGCTGATGGTTCATTCAAGTCCTGCCCTGACCCTCTCAGGTTCTCAGTGTGGAACTTTTGTTTTTAAGGGGCCCCGTTTAAATAGGATGGAAGAGCTCTAAAATAGTATGCCTCTTCCTGAGGCCAAAATACTAGGTGCACCTCAAGGACTAAAACTATGCATTCAGGGCCCTACTGCTGCAGCATAAAAACACCAAGCATTTGTCAAGGGACTTATATTTTAAATAAAGCTTTGGCACACATGATCTTATTCAGCCCCCACAACAATCCGCAACCTAAACTAGTTCGGGAAAGTGGAGATAGCACTCAGTCCAACTGTTAGCTCCAGTTAGGTGCTTTGGTTAAAGAGCTTAATAACTCCTTAGGGATTAACGAAAGGGTGCCCGCTGCTTTAGCTACCAGGCAGCATGGGAATAAAGGAACGACTGTATTTCTTCAGTCACCACGCAATCATGGCAACAGCAAGCACCCACTCTTTCCACTTTGACCCATACAGTCTGTCTAGGCAATTAATCAGCGCTCCCCGTGGTTTTGCTATGGGGTGCCAGTTGCCTTGCTAATTAAACCTTCCCACAGGATATAGCCAGACCACACCCCTGGAGAGGCCTCTGCTAGGCAAGGTACTTCGGCCTACACTAGTGGAAAGCTGAGACTCCAGTCGCCAGTGAAACTCAACCCTAGTTTTCCTGAGTCTCAGTTTCCCCACCTCTAAAATGGGCTACCCCTCTCTTTCTTGAGTTCCCTCCCATTGCACGCGAGGCTAGTAGGAAGTGAAATCAGTGCTTCACGGCGGCTGAGAGTCTTCTGTTAGGCGCCGGTCGCCGCGCCGGGCATGCTCAGTAGCGGGGGCCACTCCAAGGCGAGTACGACTAGGAAGCAGCTTTAGGCGCCCGCCCGGGCGGCCGACTGCGGGCACTTTGATGAATCACGTGTGGTGAGGCCCTCTTAAAGAGATAGGCACCCACGTTCCCTCCGTGCTAAACACCGCCCTGAGGGCGGCGGCGGCGGCGGCGACCGTGGTATTGCAGCTGCTTAGGGGCAGGGCTGGCCCCAGCGCCCAGTAGTGGCGGCCGCGGCGTGGTTGCGTCTGGGGTGCCTGGGAGCCGAAGCCCCGGGGGCCTGAACTCGGCAGCTCCCTGAGCAGCCGCACAACCTCTCGGGAAGAGGTGCTACCCAATCGGCGCGGGGCAGCGCGAGCGCCCCGAGGGGCTTCCGCAGTTGGGGAGAGGAGGGGGTGACAGGGCACAGGTGACAGGGCCGGAGAAAGATGGAGCAGCCCGGGGCGTCGGCGTCGGGAGCGGTAGGCGGCAGCGAGGAAGCCGGCGGGGCCCGGAGCAACAAGCGGAGCACGGGCAACCGGGCCGCCAACGAAGAGGAAACGAAAAACAAACCCAAATTGGTGAGTGCTCCCGCAGCCCCCGCCGGCCTTGGGGACTGGGAGAGCCCCGGACTCCTCCTGCCGTTGAGCACGGGGGGACCCGGGGCCCCTTCCCAAGTGTGACCGCGACCTCGCTGTGCAACTCGGGGAGCCGCTAAAGGAGTGGCCACGCCGAGGCGCGGAGTCGGCGCGGGGGCGGAAGAGCACCCCCTTCTTCACTTAACCCATTTCTCGCTCTGGTCAGCCCCGGAGGCAGTGCGGGAAGGAGAAAGGCCCCACCCCAACTTGGGGAGATCCCGAGTAGCGGGGTAGGGCGGCTGTTTGTCCAACTTGTGGGCAGGAACCCTCTTTGCGCCATTCCATTTCCCTCCCGCCTCTTGTCAGTTGCTGTTGCTCCTAACACTTAGGGTCTGGGCTAGGGGATCCTCCCTCCTCTTCAGTCCACAAACTTGGGAGCCCACCCACAGCCTGGTAAATCAAGGGAAACACAGCGTAGGCCCCCAGTCTTTCTACTTTACCAGAAGCCTAAGGAAGAGGCGCCTACGTGCGTTTCCCCCGCCTCGCCTCTCTCCATGTGCTCTCTTAAGAAACATTTCTTTGGGAGTGTGTGTGTGGGGGGGGGGGGGGGGACGCGTGGGAGTTTGGAGCCTGGGGAGGTACCACCGACTGTCCTGTGAGTGTGATAGGCATAGTCGCACGGTCCTTCCACTTCGCTGATTAAAAACGTTCAAAAGCAGTAGGCAAACTGCAAGGCTCACCCTGCTGACAGTGTGAACCAGTGGCAGGGGTCCATTTCCTGCCACTGAGTGTGCAGGGGGAATGAAATCGATGGGGCCTGCTATAGCATTGGGAAATACTGGAGTTTCCTCAGCGCGACAGTTACAAGGGTTCCTCTTTTTTTTTTTTTTTTTTTTTGTAAACTTTCTAATTTGAGTGATATGAGGGCCAATGGTTCTCTTGCACGAACTCAGCAAATACTCCTTGGAACTGAAGATTGTTAGTCTTGAGCCGAAGCACGAGCCACATGTTGCATGTCTAGATTTCACTTTTCACCAGCAACTTGATTATGAAGGACATGGTGACATATGAGGGGGTTTTCAAAGAGTTCATAGAAAACGTGTGTTATGCAAAAACTATGCATAGAGTTCAGTTTTTTTTTTTTTTTTTTTTGCACCAAGGTAGATTTATCTTTTAATTCCATTTTTCCACATATTTTTGAAGTGCCCTTATATGTCAAAAGTTGTTTCCTATGGTTTCTGGCCATAGGATTGTTGTCTTCGTTTTCCATTTACCTTTCAATTATGGACTGTTTATGTTGGAAAACAGTGATCAAAGTACTGTCACTTTAAGAAATATGCGGTCTTCCATTATGTGGCAAGGGACCTTGTAAGATAGATTAAAAATGTCCTAGTTTAACGTTTCATCAATTACACCCTAACTTGAGGCAAATTGAGAACTTGCCAACTTGATGTGTCCTGTTATCCTAGACTTTAGAAATAAAGAAACTGAGTCATGGGCTCTTTGTGACTTGTCTATACTGGCAGAGGGTTAATGGGTTGAACGGGTGCTTGCACTGCATAAAACTTGAGTTTTATGAGTGTCTCACCAGAGTTTAACATATTTTAAAATTCTGGTGGTGTGATTTTGAAATTTATCAGTTTGTGGTGAAAGAGTGATTGTATTTCCTTTTCTTCTTGGATCCAGTACAAAACTGTGGTTTAGTCAGTGATTCAAAGTTTAAGTAAAAATGAAAATTAACTGAAAGTTTCCATGAATCGTTTAGCAAATCTAGCAAGAATGTCCCACTTAAGAAGTACGCTCTCCAGAAAAAGCGTTTATCTCTGTTAGTAATAACACCTTGATTAAATTCTTCCCTTCCCTGTGGCCATTTGTCCTGTTGCATCTTTTATGTTTTACTTGCTTTGACAAGGTAACTGGATAGTTATAAGATAGTATCACTTACAGATCCTAGCTAACTTCTCTGTTCCATGTTGAACATAGCTTGTTATATTAGAAGACATTTGAATCTGAGCATTTGATAAGAACAACATGGTTTTTCTGTTTTGCTCAACATAATATTTGAGCCTTATGTAATTTTATAAGCAGATGTGTTAGTGTTGATAATAACAGATTTAGGAAGCCATTGCAACACATTTTAAGGCAAGCAAGTTGACTATATCAGTAAGACTTGGTAAACTTTTTAGGACAGAGTTCGTCTTGGATCTTTAAAGTTTGAGAAGTAAGATAAAGCTTTACCTAGGCTAATTTTTAGTATGTTGAGTATTATGTTAACAGTCATGGTAATTATTCTTTGTGTGTGTGTGTGTGTGTGTAAAGAAGTTGTGGTATGGAATTATAAAAGAGAATCTTTATGAAAATAGGAATTTTTTGTGTAGGTGATTGAGAGGATATGAGTTCTCTTTAAAATTTTATTTTTATATAAAAAGTAGAGGGAGGGAGGGACAGAGAGATCTTCCATCAGCTAGATTTGGGGTTTTTAAACTCTTAATTGTATGAAATGAGTATATGTGGGTATGTTCATTTTTCTGATCCACATAACTTTTATCAGTTTTTTTTTATTTTAAAGATTTTATTTATTTGAGAGGCAGAGTTCCAGAGAGGCAGAGGCAGAGGCGGAGAGGCAGAGAGGGAGGAAGGGAGGGAGGGAGGGGTCTTCCATCTGCTGGTTCACTCCCCAGATCACTGCAACGGCTGGAGCCGCACTGATCTGCAGCCAGGAGCTTCCTCCGGGTCTCCCATGCAGTTGCAGGGGCTCAAGGACTTGGGCCATCTTCTACTGCTTTCCCAGGCCATAGCAGAGAGCTGGATCAGAAGTGGAGCAGCCAGGACTTGAAGTGGCGGTGCCCATATGGGATGCGGGCACTGCAGGTGGCGGCTTTACCTGTCACACCACAGCGGCAGCGCTTTATCAGTGTCTTAAAGGCATCCATCACCTGTAGAAGGATAAGAACTATTGCATTATGAAAGATAGTAAAGGAAACAGCAGTTGATTCCACTCTGTAAGGTAGTGGAGAGGAGGGAGTTGTGTGATGAAGGGAGAGGGGAATCACAGTGACCACAAGGGTTATTGGAAGTGAAGGCAATTCCTCTGGGAGTAAAAAGAAATTAACTACACAATGTTTACCCAGTGTTAGCTGAGACTAAAGTTTCTGCTTTAGTTTTTCTAGGTAGAAAAATTAACTCAGTTGTCTTATAGTGGGTGCTTAACGTATAAGGCTTGTGATTCAGTTGTTTACCTCTAGGTCCTCATGGTTCTGGAAGACTGGAG